TTTTAGACAACTATAACAAGGCAGAGAGAGGACTGTTTGAAGGTGAAAGCTTTGAGCAGGAGAGCAGGCCTGATGTCTCACCAATTCTTAACTTCTGTTCACCCGCAGCTTGCTCCCCCCGCCGATCTCATGCAGGACCGGGCTGGAATGATCCTTTGTGATTCATTCTGATTTAGGGTGGCTGCCAAACTTTCTAGGACTTTTGCGGGCTCCCTGGGCTATCCTGCATCAAAGCCTCCAGTGCCTCTTTCCTCTCCTCTGACCTTGCAGATCTGAGAAATACCAAGGACTTTGCCTGTGCTGGATGTGTAGCTGAAGACTGTCCCAGGCTGCTCAGAGGGGCGGAAGCAAACTTGCTGCATCTCCAGAAGCCCCTCAGAGGTCAGGTTTAAGGTGAGGGTGTCCTTGAGTGAAGGTCAAATAGGTTTCTTTTCTTTTCTCTTTTTTGAGACAGGGTCTCACTCTGTTGCCCAGGCTGGTGTGCAGTGGCATGATCATGGCTCACTGCAGCCTCAACCTCCTGGGCTCAAACAATCCCCCCACCTCAGCCCCCCAAAAACGGGGACTACAGGGATGTGCGGCCACACCCAGCTAGTTAAATTTTTTTTTTTTTGTAGAGATGGGGTCTCCCTATGTTGCTTAGGCTGGTCTTGAACACCTGAGCTCAAGTGATCCTCCTGCCTTGGCCTCCCAAAATACTGGGATTATAGGCATGAGTCACTGTGCCCGGCCAGGTTTCTTTTTTCCCCAATTGTTTAGTAAACATTTTTTTTCCTCTAATAAAAAAACACACTCAGAAAAGTGCACAAATCATAAATACATAGTGCAGTGATCTTTTACCTGCAACACATCATCTAGATCAAGAAATAGAGCATTGCCAGCTTCCCATAACCCTTGCCTGGTGTCCCCGCCCAGTTGTCACTCCCATCAAAGGCAGGCATTCTTCTGCCTTCTATTCCTGACAGTTAGTGTGGCCTGACTTTGGAACATTATATAAATGGAATCGCACTGGATGAACTTGATTGTTTCTGGTTTCTCTGGCTCACCATTTTGAAATTCACCCATGTCATGTGTGTGGTTCATTTATTCTCATTGTGGTATAGTGTCCCGTTGTATGACTATGCAATTTTTAATCCATTCTACTAATAATCTTTGGGTTGTTCCTTGCTTAGGGCTATGATGGATAATGCTGCTGTAACATTCTTATCTTTGCCTTGTGGTGTGCAAGTGTACACATTTCTACTAAATACCTAGGAGTGAAATTACTGTGTCATAGGGTAGACACTGCCAGTTTTCCAAAGTGGTTGTAGCAGCAGCATATGACAGTCCCAGCTTCTTCACATCCTCACCAACACCATTGTCAGTGATTTCACTTTAATATCCTGGTGGCCAAAATTACCTTTCTAAACCATAGATCCCTTGATCCCTTTCCTGCTTCGAGCTTCCTAAAATTTCCTCAACATTTTAGCATGAAAACTTTTACAGAAAAGTTGAAAAAATTGTACAGTGATCACCCAGATCAACCCCAATCCTATAATATAATCACATCATCCACATCTTGTTATAATCACTTTTTCACAAGTCTAGCTATCTATCCTTCCATCAGCCATCTTCTTTTTTTCATTGTCAGTGCCTCTTTATGAAGGTAAAATTGACATACCAGAACATATCCTCATTTTAGGCATACATTTCACGATTTAAGTGAATTTATACAGTTGTGCAACCATCAGCATAATCTAGTTTTAGAACACTTCTGTTACCCTAAGCACGTTCTCCTCATACCATTTGTAGTCAATCCCTACCACGGCTCCCAGTCTCAGGCAGCTACTCGTCTATCTGCTTTTTTTCTATGTAATTTTGCCTTTTCCAGAAAGTCTTCATAAATGGAAGTATACAATGTATAGTCTCTTCTGTTTGGCTTCTTTCATTAGAATGGTGCTTTTGAGATTTATCTATGTCGTAGCATGTATCAGTACGTTGTTTCTCTTTACAGATGGCCAGTATTCCAATGTATGGATATAGAGTAGTTTGTTTGCCCATTCTCCTGGGTTTTTTTTTTTTTTAGGTGACGTTTCAGTCTTGTCATCCAGGCTGGGGGGCAGTGGCGCGATCTCAGCTCACTGCAACCTCCGTCTCCCAGGTTCAAGCGATTCTTATGCTTTAGCTTCTTGAGTAGCTGGGATTACAGACATCTGCCACCATGCCCAGCTAATTTTTTTTTTTTTTTTATATTTTTAATAGAGACGGGGTTTCATCATGTTGGCCAGGCTGATCTCGAACTCCTGATCTCTGGTGATCCTTCTGCCTCGGCCTCCCAAAGTGCTGGGATTACAGCCATGAGCCATAGTGCCTGGTCTCAATAGGGGTTTAATGACGGGATCATAGTCTGGCATAGGAGAGGTTGCTCATTTATGGAGTGGTCTATTGTAAGGGAAGAAAGAAGGATAGAAAGAAAGAGACAGAGAGGTAGAGACAGAGAGAGGAAGAGACAGAAATAGAGACAGATATGAACTTGTTGCCTCCACATTCTCTGTCTCCAAGTTAGCAATGGGCCTCCTTCCGTTTGGGAAACTTCTTGACTACCCAGCTCTCAGGTGCCCATGGTACACCTGCCAATTAGATCTCCTGTGCTGACCGTTCTCTGCTCTGGGTTTGTATCTGTTTCAAGGGTGACTGTCTCATTTAATCCTATAATGTTCACAAAGAGCTCAGCACGATGTCTGGCACATGGTTTAGGACTTGGGAACTGGTGGTCTTCAGTACTCATCTTCCCAGCAGCTTGCGGGGCTCTCTGAAGGCAAGAATTGTGGCTTCTATGTCCCTTCAGTGTGGCTCCAACTCCTGGGAAAGCCCCAGACACATGTGGAGGGGGCAGGGAGAACAGTGGATGGGGTAGTGGGTCAGGGCCTTACACAGTCAATGCCTCAGCACCCCAAACTCAGGCCCTCTGGTTAGGTCTCTATTAGGGAAATAGCCCGGGGCTGGGTCTGGGAGGTCACTGGACCTTGGTGCCGAACCACAGCTAGGAATGCCAGCATCACTAGCAAGTTCAGCATGGGCCTAGGGAACAAGGTTGCTGGGACCCCCTGCCAGTGAGGAGGCCTGAGCAGCAGCCAGGCACATTGCCCCCTCCTCACCTCCTTCTCAGCCTTATAATTCCCAAGATTCCTGCTCTTTTTCAGACCCCAGACCTCCCTGTCTGCGTGCTTCCAGGAGTGCTGAGCATAGGGGCTCCCAGGCCCACGCCAATGATGCCTCCTTCTTTTCCTTTCCAGGCTAAAATGACTTCCTGAGACCTGGATGTGTCTTCACGGCTTCACTGCAACAGTGAAGTTATGCAAGCTATGGTTGAGGGGTTCTATTCTCTAATGCAGTGGTTCTTAAACTTGAGTGATGTATGCTCAAGTGCAGAAATCAGAGTATTCGATCCAGCAGGTGTGGGGTGGGGCCTGAGAACCTGCATGTCTAACATGTTCCCAGGCCATGTTCATGCTGCTGGGCTGGAACCACCCTTTCGGATCTAAAGCTTTGATCTCTCCTCCTGGGGCTCAGCCTGTGTCTTCTCTCCTACATCATGGGGAACAGAGAAGGCAGGGGCTCATCTTCTTCCTTCTCTGCACAAGCCCCAAAAAACACTTAGATTGTAGTGACCTTGATGGTGACAGTAGGAAGTCCATATTTGAATTGCCTTTGGCCAAAGGGCATGGCAAGACTTACGTAGGGAAAAGCAGATACAATGTCCTGTCTCCAGCCCATCATAAAAATAAAAACACACGAAAGCTGGAGAGGATGTCAGAGTACAGTTATGCATCACCTAACGACAGGGACAAATTCTGAGAAATGCGTTGTTGGGCAATTTCATCATGTGAAACATCATAGAGTACACTTACACAAACCTAGATGGTCTAGCCTGCTATACACCTAGGCTATGAACCTGTACAGTGTGTTAGTCTAGTGAATACTGGAGGCAATTGTAACACAGTGGTAAGTATTTGTATGTCTAACGTACAAAACATATATAAATATAGAAAAGGTACAGTAAAAATATGGTATAAATGATAAAAAAAAAAAAATGGTACACCTGGCCGGGCATGGTGGCTCACGCCTGTAATCCCAGCACTTTGGGAGGCTGAGGCAGGTGGATCATGAGGTCAGGAGATCGAGACCATCCTGGCTAACATGGTGAAACCCCATCTCTACTAAATACACAAAAAATTAGCCGGGCGATGTGGCGGGTGCCTGTAGTCCCAGCTACGCGGGAGGCTGAGAAAAAAAAAAAAAAGTGGTACACCTATAGAGGGCACTTACCATGAATGGAGCTTGCAGGACTGGAAGTTGCTTTGGGTGAGTCAGTGAGTGAGTGAGTGAGTGTGTGTGTAGGTCTGGGACTTTGCTGTGCACTACTGTAGACCCTATAAACACTGTGCAGTTAGGCTACACTACATTTATTTTACACATTTCTTTTTTTTGGTAATAAATTAACCATAGCTTAATATAGCTTTTCTTACCCTGTAAACTTAAAAAATTTTAAAAGCTTTTTGCCTCTTTTGTAAACACAGCTTAAAGCACAAACGCACTGTATAGCTGTACAAAAATATATTTTTTTACATCCTTATTCTTTAAGCTGTTTTCTGTTTTTAAATTTTTAAATTTTTTTGTGAAAAATGAAGACACAAACACATACGGTAAGTAGCCTAGGTCTATTTGAGGTCAGGGTCATTAACATCCACTGCCTTCCACCTCCACATCTTCGGCACTGGAAGGTCTTCAGGGGCAGCAACAGGTATGGAGCTGTCATCTGCTATGATGACAAGGCCTTCTTCCGGATACCTTCTGACGGGCCTGTCTGAGGCTGTTTTACAGTTAACATAAAAGGATAAGGAGTATACTCTAAAATAACAATAAAAAGTATAGTAAATACATAAACCAATATCATAGTGGTTTACGATCATTATCAAGTATTATGTACTGTACATCATTGTATATGCTATACTTTTATGTGACTGGTAATGTAGTAGGTTTCTTTATACCAGCATCACTGCAAACATGTGAGTAATGCATTGCACTACAATGTCACTAGGCGCTAGCAAATTTTCAGCTCTATTATCATCTTACGGAACCACCGTTGTATGTGCAGTTCATACATCGTTATGTGGTACATGACTGTATAAAACTAAATAGGTAGTTTCATGAGAGAAATAATCAGAAGTTACTACGCTGTTTTAACTGAGCATCAGTGATAATGTTAATTTTGATTTTGGAAGTAACCCATGTAAAAAGAACTCTGCAAATTACATAGGTCAGATAAGATAGTAAATGTAGCTTTTCTGGCAGTGTTCTAGAATGTTTATTCAGATTCAGCTCAATCTTGTGGTCAAGCTGGGTCTGACAAAAGATCCTTAAGAGTTCTTTAACACGCTCTACCGTCAAACCAATCCTATGAGGTAGACATTGTCATTCTCATTTTACAGATGAAGAAACAGGCTTAGCAGTTGTATGTTGGATCCTGGATTCCAAGAGTCTTTTTACTCCAACTCAGACTTTGGAACCTGAAGTGAGGTGTTTTTTTTTTGTTTTTTCTTTTTTCACAACACCACAGGTGAATGCTAATTAAGATTCTCCTGAACAATTTCTAGCCAAATTGCAACACATGAGGCTGGATGAAGGCTAGGGCAAGCTCTTCTCTTGCTTGGGGTGTGAACTCCATTGACTTTAGCTGACCCTGTAAGAAAAAGTCCAGCATATGTACCATCAGAAATGACAGATTTGGAAACAGATTCCTATACAGACTTATCTGAGCTTAAGACAGGCAAGATTGATCAGGGTAGTGGATCTACTGTGATCACTTTTAATTGTTCTTCAGCATCTGGCAAAGTGTGTGTTTAAACAAGCCAGGTATGCTGCTTGCTGCTTGCTCAGAGAGATTAGGGATAGTGCTGCATCCAGCTGGGCCACCCTCAGCCCACCCTGGGCCAGATGGGTATTAAGTAAGGGAAGTATCTGCATCATTTGAGTGTTTGCAGATGCCATATGAATAGACCCCAGTGGAAACCAACTGAGCCACAGACGGTGCACCATGGCCTCCTGGAACTGTCATTGGGTCCCAGATTTGTGGTCTGGGTATCATTCCAGCGAAAGTTTATTGCTCCATAAAGAATTTAGGCAGGAAGTGAGATAGATCATGGATTAGATAGTGACCTTTTGAGTTGGAATGGATGAGTGCTGCTGGTGGTAGGGATGAGAATGAAGAAGGAGGAGGAGGGTGGTGGCAGATGGGGTTTTGATGATTGGAGATGACAGATAGAGGCTGGTGACAGCAGTGGTTGGGGGGATGGTGGTACAGGAGATGGATGTTGTAGGAAGCTGGTTATTGGGATGATGGGCTGAGTAGCTCAGGGAACCAGCTGGAAACTCCAAAGCCAGGGATGGGAATTTGATCGTGGTTGGGGGTGGCTAGGGAGGTGAGAGGATTGCTTGGGGGAGGCATAGATTTCTGATCACCCGCTCCTTCTTCCAAAGGTGCCTGTTGAGGGTATTTACCAAACTTGCCCCAACAGCCCAGCTGGGAGGTCCTTCCTGGCTGAGATTTAGCAAACTTGTTTCCCTAGGAGGCCTCTCTTACCACAACAGACAGATGGGTGCTGACGTCAGCAGCAGTGCAAAGCTGTAAGTCAGCACTAATGGGGGTGGCACCTGAGGGCCAATGGGAGAGAGAGTTCTGCCCAGCTTGGCCTCCTCTGAGACCCATCCCAATGGGAAGACAAGGTAAGAAGCCTCTCCTGGGCTTCCTGGCCAGGTTCCTGGAATAGGTGGCAGGTTCATGGTGGGTGACTGGGGCTCAAATTTGGCAGCTCTGGGACATGGGAATTGGAAGGGCTTGTCGTGGGCCATCTGGTTTAAGCCTATGCAGAGAAAAGAAAGGCATTAGGATTCCCATTACCTGAGGCCTTGGGAGGAGGAGAGTTGTACCTAAGGTTAGCTGGAGAGGCAGCAGCAGAATCAGGCTCAGAACTTCTTCTGTAACAGCACCTCCATTTGTGTACAAGCATGGGAGTATGGGGCAGTGAGCTCACAAGGGCAGGAATCAGCAGACCCAGGCAGCCTGTTTCCTCTTCTGCAAAATGGGAGTGCCAAAAAGTTGCTCCTAGGGTGTGGAGAGGATTAGATGAGATGGGCATAAGTAAAGCACCCTATGAACATTAATTTTCTTTTCCCCACAGATCATTTGTCCTGGGTGGGAGCCTTCAGTGCACCTCAGTATGTGTTTGTGTGTGCATGAGTGAGTATGCTGTGTGTGTGAAAGCATGCACAAGCCCCTCCGTGTGTGTATGTGTTAGTGTGTATGTGACTGTGTGATTTGCAAATCCTGACCAGGCAGCCATTGTGAGGGGAAGCTGCAATGTTTACTGATCTTGGGAGATATTAGAGGTTGGAGCCTCTAGGATTGGCCTTGCATGGGCTGAGGTGGCGGGACTGGAGTTGGGGGTGCTCTGGATCCCCTAGGCTGCTGCAAACCCTGAAAGCTGCTGCTCTGGACACCAATAGCGCAGGGCACGGTTAGGCAGCTCCTGTTAGGGGCTTAGGCAAAGTCATCAAGTGACTCAGGAGTAGGTCTTTAGGAGGTCCCCCTGGGCATTTCTTGGGCAGCCTAGCCAGGGGTGTCTGAGCAGAGATGAGGGAACGGGCTGGAAGGCACCGAGGAGAGGAGAGGAAGCAGGGCTTCTCTCTCTGCCTCTTCGGGGCAAAGAATTCTGCTTTCTTTGTGGCTGGAGGTTACCTCACCTTCCTCCCCTTGCTCTGGGAAGAGGTCTGAATATAAGTCAAGTCATTTGTGCTAATTGTTGACATTTTTGAGACGTGCCTTTCCTGGGAGTTTGGGGGCCTAGTATGCAAATCTATGCACATTATGTGCCATCAACAGAAAAACTGGAACCTCAGGGAATTGCTGGAGCAGAAAGGTTCTCCTTCTTCAGAACCGCTTCTAAGCTGCCTATAATTCCCCCCATTAAATTCACAGAGGCAAAATGTGTTGGCTCCTGGAAGGTCAAGGCTGAGGCCAGATCACAACGGCCTTTCAGTCCATGGTCTCACTTTACAGATGAGGAAAGTGAGGCCCAGAGGGGAGGCATGACTTGCTTGAGATTATACAGTCAATGGCAATGCTAGGGTCTGACCTGGCCCAGGATCGTCCAGATTCGTTCTTTTACTTAATATGCACAATACACACACACACACAGACACACACACACACACACACACACACACACAGAGTCTATCCTTCGCATAGCACCCGCAGCTTTATTTTGCTTCACAGCAGTACCTGACCTTGTATGTTTACATTTCCTTTTCCTCCTGCCGGACTAGAATAAAACTCCATGGGGGCGGGAAGTGTGCTTGTTTTTTCACATTGTATTCACTGTCATATTGTCAGCATCTAAAATACAGAATGGCGGGATTCATTCATTCATTGGCTGGTCACCTCTCTGATGTGCCCTCTTCCAGACCCTGGTGACACAGAAAAGTGTCAGACTTGGCCCCTGGCTCCTGGCTCAGGTGGCTTCAGGCCCTTTCTTCTGGGACCCAGTTGCCTGCGGGTGGGAGGGATCCCCCTCACCCAGGTCCCACTGGCACTGACTCTGGAAGCTCACCCCAGGGGAGGAGAAGCTAGGGATGAGAATTAAGAGTCCTCTCCAAGGAACTCCCAGAGCAGAATCAGGGAAGCCCCCACGGCACTGAGGAGACTCGGGGTGTGAACACAGTAGCTTGTGACCAGGGAGGTGGCGGTGGGGAGGAAGGTAGAAGCTCATTTGGGAGGCAGGGTGTGGGGACTTGGAGGGGAATCCTGGGCGGAGACGGTGAATGGGTACTGTGGAGGCTCTGGGCACTGGGTGTCTAGGGCAGGCTGTGTGGGGCGGGGGGGCATGACAGAGAAAGAACACTGGCATTTACTGACATTTGGGGTAGGCTGCAGAGTGGGGACTGGTGAAGAAGGGCAAAAGGCCAGACTCCAGTCCCTGCACTTCATATGGGCAGAGTGGCGAGGCATTACATAAGCCTCAAGAAGAGCTTTGGTCGAAGGCTTAATTTTCTCATCTGTAAAGTGGGGAAAACATGAACCTGGGCATGGGGGCCTGGTGTCAGGAGGGAGGTGAGTCTCGTATGAAGGAATCTGTCTGAACGCCCTCAGCTGGACCCCCAAATCTGTCTGAACGCCCTCAGCTGGACCCCCAAACACAAGCCAGCCTGTCTTCCCAGCCCTTTCTCCCTTTTCCCAGGGTACATTCTCTGGGAAGTGGGGCCCTGTGGCTGCTGCCCTGTGGAGGGGCCAGTCCTCATCCTCTCTGCTCCCCAGCCACTGTATGTTCATTTGCCCAAGAGGTTACCCAGTTTCCTCTGTCCTAGTTGACCAGAACCCTCTGGATTCTGTGGGTGCTACGGGTTTTCTGGCAGGGACCCAGGCCTACGCCTTGCTGGGGGCTGTGAGCAAGAGAGCAGCAGACCAGATTTTGCAAGCCTGAAATAGTTTATGGCCAGGCTGAGGCCGGGAGGAAGGAGGGCATGGCCCCAGGAATGCGGGAGGAATGCCTGGGAGGCTCGTTCCGTCCCCCACCCATCCTCAACTCCCCAGGGGGAAGGAGTACAGGCCTCAGGACTACCGGGCACTGGGCAGAGAAAGGGAAATGGTCTGGGCCCTGAGCATTCCTGGGGCTGGGGTGGTCGTAGGGCCAGTGAACGGGTATGTATGTGGGCTAAGTCTTTCTCCAGATATGAGTATCCTCTCCTCCAAGGAGGACACCTGGATTAGACTTCTCTGTCTACTCCATTCAGTCTTTCCTACCTACTTGCCTGTGGCACCAAGGATACATATCTTCATTCCTGTGTCCCTCAGAGTGAGGGTTGTTTTCCTACTTGATGCGGGGCCTCTCTGTCTCCACTGTCAAACTGGGAGCTCCCTGAGGTCAGGGTTTGTGTTTTCCTTTCAGATTGAAAATTCCTTAAGGATTGAGGCTATGAGTCTCCCATAGAGTGGAAGCCCACAAATGTTTCCCACGTCCAGAATGGGGTGGAAGTGGAACGACAAGATGCAGTCTCCACCCCCATTCCTTTAGATCCAATCAATCCTGGTTGGAAATCCTTCAATCCTGGTTGGAAAGCGGGATAGCCTTCAGAGGGCCAGTTGAGTCTTGTGGACCAGACAGCAGCCTATGAAGAGACTTGGCCCTCCCATTTCCATCCATGTGAACACCTGGGGCCCCTATGTGGAGGCCAGAGGAAGCCAGGCCCCCGTTACCCATCTGGACAGTCCACTTGGCCCTGCTGGTATCATACCTTGGGCTTGCCCCCTCTGCATGTGGCCTGGGGTCTATTCCAGGAAGGGGTGGGCGGTAGGGGGTTGAGAGTGGACAGGCCACTGGCTGTTAATAATACCTGCATTTTCGTGGGCCCTATGGTTAGGCCATCACCTTCCCTTTCGTGTTTGGCTCTGTCTCAGTGAGCCAGCAGGTGAGGTGGAGGCTAGGCAGGAGCCCCAGGGTAGGGGCAGCCATGCAGGCACAGAAGGAGGCAGAGGACTGGTGCCTGGTCACAGTCACAAGGTTCTAGCACCCTCAATTTCCATCAATGCCCCAGCTTTGTTATGGAAGACACAAGTTGCCAAAACTCTGGCAACTCTGGCTGGTCACACCCTGTCCTTTTGCGGACATAGCTCTCTGGCCTCCATTGGCAGGACATCTATTTCTAATTCCCGCATACACTCCTAGACCAGCCTCATTTGGGTCAGTCTGTGGTCAGGGTCATAGACAAGCTCTACAGGGTTGGGCCAGTCTGTGGCTAGAATTAAGGGTCTGAGATCTGGGTTTAGGGTCAGGCTCTGACCAGGGTTTTTTGTCAGCCTGTTTTCTGGGTTAAAGGGATTAGACTTTGACTAGGTAGGACTAACAGTCAGTCTGTACCCAGGACTACGGTTAAGTTTATAACCAGAAGTAGGAGGTCAGTCTGTATCCAAGCTTAGGGACCAATCTGTACCCAGGACCAGGAATATGGATTCCTAATCCAGGACTGTACCTAGGATTAGGGATCAGTCTACACCTAGGATTAAGAGCCAGTTTGTATCCAGGATTAAGGATCAGACTGTACCCAGAAATGGAATAGTCTATACCCAGAATTAGGGATCAATGAGCATTGAGGGGTAGGCGTGTGTTTTGCACTGAAACTGAACCTATGACTAGGCCACAGAAGGTTACCCTGGCCCAACTGGGCGTAGAAGGCAGAGAATACTGTTTGCAGTTTGAAGGGGAAAGAGTTTGATGATCCCTTGGCCACCCTACTCTGCATACCCACCTGCAGGAGTTACCTGGGGCAAAGTAGGGCACTTCAACACTCCCAGCCTTAGCTTCGACTTGATGAGGCATAAGAAACAGCAGCCTGAGCCCCACAAAGCACGGTGCCTAGGCAAGGTCCAGTGAGTGGCTCGAAGGCAGCATTGCCCAGTTCTATGGACAGGAAGAATCCTGAGCAACTCCACCACAGATGGCGCTTCTGTTTACACTGCACCTCTCGAAACTCATTCACCAACAGTTCATTCTGCAAATATTTCCCGAATACCTGCCGTGCTTTAGGCCAGAGGTTCTCAAAGTTGAGTGCACAGAAGAATCAACTGGGAAGCTTGTGAAAAAGGCTGACTCCTGGGCCCCCCTCTTGGGTATTCTGGAGCAGAAAGGCGGTAGGAGCTGCCCAGGAATCTGTACTTTTAATAAAGTTTCCTGGTGATTCTGCTGTGGTAGTTTAGGGCCATGCTCTTGGGACCTGTCCTCAAAAGGCCCATCAAGTTAAAAAGGATTGCAGGAAACACCCATAATGCTGTCTGGTGAGTTCAGCAAGCCGGTGGGCATCTTCCAGGGCATTTGGAACAGAGGGTATGCATGGGTGTTTTCAGAGAAGACCCAAGAAGACCTTGTGAGGAAGCAACAGTGAACTTCTGCCTCATTTTTGAAGAAAACTTTGTTGTCTTGTTGCAAAAAATTGTATGGAACGTACCTGTCTAGCCACCGCAAAGCCTTTTCACATGATTGGCAAGCTAGAATTCCGGCAAGCACACAAAAGATTAGCTCTGAGAGTAGAGGTGTAAAGCAAAACATACTTTTT